AAGAGGAACCAAACAAATGGGCTTTCAATGAATCAAAGAAATGTATCCAAAGTGATTTGGAAATTGATTAACTTAACCAAATGATAGAAATTAATTGCTCCATTGATTGATATTGATTATTCAATGATGGAAAACTTTAATCATTCATTCACAGAAAAATAAATTGATGTTTAAGCTTTGGTATTAATTGTGTTTGTTTCAAACACTTTGACTGTTTCGAGTTAAAATAATTTAATTATTTAGCCAATCTATTCTGATTAACTGAGTTAACTGTTTGGAATGATCAACAATTTGGTTAAGTTATAATATGTATATAGATTAGTAGGTTGACTTTGGATGATTGAAATTAACATTTTCAAAGATTGATTAATCTTTACCCCTTAACACTTATGTCAATCCCTTCAGGCAATTAATTTAAACTCTACTCTCTTTGATTTAATCCACTTCCTTCTAGGTTAATTGTTAAATCTCATCATCTTACATCATGATCATTATTTGTTGTATACCATAAACAACTTAATTTACTTTTAAATTTCAATCAACAATTTAAGCCGATGATTGAGAAAACAATAATATTAAACATACAAATAATGAAAAAGTTTATTGATTAATCTTTAATTGAAATAATATTAAAAGAAGCTAATCTTTTGTATCAATTTGATCACAATCAAGATGATCTATCAAAAGGGTGAAGTCAATATTAATTTACAGGTCGACTTAATCAACCAACTAAAATTAAGGAACCACAACTAAATCGGACAAAAAGAATGAAAAGTTTTTCAAGATCACAAAATCACCTTTTCAAAAGAAATGCTTTTAATAGCTCAATGTTCAAGATACTTGGTGGCAAAAACTAACCATTTACAACATGCAAATGAATTGACAGTCACCACAAAAATAAAACGAGCAATCTAACGCCATCTATGAGATAAATTTTAATGATTTTGACATTTCGATCATTTTAAAGATGAAGACCATTAAATTCACTCCATCATTGGTTTGTCGGTGCATTTATTGCTAAGTATCTTTTCCTGAGCTCGATTTACTCGGAATATCACTAAACTATTAGGTAAACAACTAAGCAATGGCCAAAATTTTTTCGAATTTGAATTTATTCTAATTGTTTGAATAATGTAGATTATTGATAAATATATTTCATAACATTCTAAAGCTTAGATTCTGACCTTTAATATGATAAACAATTTAGAGCTAAGTGACGATTAGTTTAATTGTAATCCCATTTTTTTTAAATGCTAGATTTTTATGTATAGATAGTTTAACATTGAATTTCCATAGAGAACTGATTAAATGGAGTTTCCTATTTATCACCAATTTTCATAGTGGAATCCCAATTGAAAATTGATTTTTAGTGTTAAGCTATTTTTTGCTTGAATTTTAATAACTTTTGAACTCAATCAATTTAATTTTGTTATATCAGCTTGAATAGCCGATGAATATCTCACGTAAATTTGAATTGCAAAAAATCAAATGGTCATTGAAAAAATGGCCTGTGAATAAAAAAGATCGAATTTCGAAAGTCTAGCATTTAAGATAAAATTTAATTACAATTGAATTATAGTAATCATCATACAACTCTAATTTATCTATCATATAAGTTTACTGTCTAAACTTTTGAATGTATTCAATTAATTACACTCATACCTCTTTTTATTTATTATTATTTGAAGGGAGTTTTTCCGCATAATCCGAAGACTTACAAATGAGTATCTTGGTTACATATTGCAAATTGAGAAGAAAAATAGAGGATAGAAGGAAAAAAGGAAAATAATAAATCCATCGACCAAGGAGAGGCAAACCTACCACCTTGAGGATATGAAACATTTCTCTTGACCATTCGGTCATGAGAGAACTCTTAAGTTACAAAACGGAACCATCTTTTTTCGACAGATGAGCAGCTCGTAGCATTAATAGAATTAAATTTAAAATTTTAATTCAGAATTCGACTGCTGCCTGAATTTGTGACTCGTTTTAATTACTTGCGAGAGGTATGACTAATCTAGCATCCATATTTTTTTAAATTAAACTAAATTTGTATCGAAAAGATTCCGGCCATTACAAAGTTGTTCAAATAATCTATCTAGGCCTAAAAATAGTACCTTCCCATGAATAGGCTGAAACAAAAAACGATAAGGTTAAAGTTGATATTATCAAAGTGCAGTTGGATTGAGTGATCTGTTGTGATAGCGGTTTGCATTCATTGACATTGACCTCATTAACAAAAGCATATATGTTATTCACTCAAATCAGGGTCACCTTTAAAATCTGGACACATATCGAACCAAATGATTTCAATTTACATTAACTTTTGGTGACCCATATCGTATACCAGGGTCACCTTTAAAATCCGGACACATATCGAACCTAATGATTTCAATTCATATTAACTTTTGGTGACCCATATCGTATACCAGGGTCACCTTTAAAATCTGGACACATATCGAACCAAATGATTTCAATTTACATTAACTTTTGGTGAACCATATCGTATACCAGGGTCACCTTTAAAATCGGACACATATCGAACCAAATGATTTCAATTTACATTAACTTTTGGTGACCCATATCGTATACCAGGGTCACCTTTAAAATCCGGACACATATCGAACCTAATGATTTCAATTCATATTAACTTTTGGTGATTCAGTTTATGTCAGCGATATTACTCTGAACGAGCCAAATTATATTGTTTAAATAACATAATTAGATTACGAACTTATCTCTTCTGTACCTTCTTGCAAAGTTTTTTCAGTGGTGGTTGAGCAACTGAATTTATTGGCATTCCGTTGGTAGATTTCATTTGCGGGTTCGATTTCTTGGTTCTGCCATTGTATTGTTTAAGTTTCATTCAGAGAACTAAGCTCAAGACAGGAACCAAAGGATACACAATGGTGAAATTACACAAAGAAGAAAGAAAAAGGTTAAAAAGATTGGTAAAAATATTTTTGATGTTTTCACAACCGAAGATAAACTTCCAATCCAAACACAAGTTTAGATACTTTTACTGTATCCGTTGAAAGCAATAATTTCAATAATGTTGAATGAATATTAAAACTTTAATCCTTTACTCTTGAACTGTTCAGGGAGAGTGTGTTTTTATTGATACAATGTATTACATTAATACAATAGGTGACGAAGGTGATCATGATCAGAAGATCTTGATCACCTTCTGGAACTTTCTAATAATCGTAAATCGATAGTTTCAATTAATATTTAAAATATATCATTATCATCATTTCATTATCTTGCATGTTATCACGATAGTTGATAATAACAATCATAAATATCAGACTGCGACCAAGGTCAGTATTGATCGGTCGCAGTCTGATTGACATTTTTTGTTACATTACCCTCCGCTCTAAGTCGAAAGGTCTCTCTTTCGATAACATTACAACGGTGACTAAAATTCTAATAATATAATATTGCAATTAAAGGTTCAAATGTGCAAGTAAATTTAACAATAAGTTTTAAGGTGAAAACAAAGAGTCAATTCCATAATTCTGAGGCCCCATTGAAGTTGATTCCCGTCTAGTCTTAGGCCAAGTTAAAAGTGATACAATCTGTTCATTCCAACGAGGTGCAGTTGGTTGAATGTTGATAGGAGGTATAATCGTGGTAGGTCGACTTCTATACGTCACTATGCGTTTTGCACATTGACAACCAACGCAGAAGCAGGTAAGCATCGAAAACATGATGATGATTGTACTGAATGAATACTGGACCGTCGGATTTTCCCATTGTTTCCTCATAAATTGATATGGATTGGAGTAAAGTTCCATGTTGATTGGTTTTAATCCAAAATCAATCGGACTGTTATCTAAGATGAAATTTATCTTCATTGTTTCGGTGTCGAATACATTTTTCTTGATGAAAGTTACAGAGTAATTCTTGCGTCCAATGGAAAAAGGTGTATCAACATCCAATCGAAACGGATAATCAGGGCATTTGCGTGTGATATTCAACAAGGTGATATTATGACCAAAACAATAAATGTGGTTTTCTTTCGCTATTCTTTTTATCTGTGGTTCCATCCGTTCGTATTGTTCGGAGCATCCAGTCAATGTCCATCGTAATTGTGTTTCATTAATACAGTTGTCCAAATCTGGAGCCAAGACCAAATTGTCGGAGTCGAAATACTGTTCATTTAAAGGGCAAACCCGTTGACCATTGAGTATAACCGTTTTTGCACCGTTGTAATTACTCTGACAGTAATTAGTACCATTCCGAGCGATTAAAACAAACGGTTCGGCTCTATATAGTTTGAGCTTTGGATCAATAGTCTGAGCTCTGAAGTTCAATTTCAATCTTTTATCCTTTTCATTCTGAGTAAATTCACACTCAAAATCCGTGACTGCGTCTATTGGACAGGATTCGTTACAAGCCAAAGTAAAGTTAAAGATTCGAAGAAAATTCACATGTAAATGCCGAAGATATACATCTTTTTCGGTTAATTCCAAACGGAGTTTATCTGTCGTCAATTTACTGATTACCTTCGAGGTCATCAAATTAACTAGAGGTGAGTATTCAAAGAAGTTTTTCAACCTCTTACGTGTGACTATTAGTTCATCTATTACTTTGTTTGTATTAAAGGTTAGATTAGTAATTGCTTCTTTAAGGATAACATCGTTGTCCCAGGCCTTGTCGAGCTCCTTACATATCCCGTCTATTTGAGATTTTTGATCCTTGTTGGTCATTAAGTTATAAGAGGGGAGAACTTGACTAACACCAAATCCAATTAAAGAAGAAATTCCAATTATAGCAGTTGTACCTAATAGCACGAACCTTTTTGATTTTTTGATACGTTGACGACATATTTGTGATAAAGGTTGATAAATGTTTTCGTTGACAGCAGATTCACAAAGATTTTGCGCAGTTTTCTTTAAGTTAGCCATATCTTCTTCTACTGTTGGTTCATGTACTATTGGAGGGTTAACTTTATAACTTGTTGCCGAATCAGTTGATGCTGGAGCTATGGAACGCCTTTACATCGGATATTCCTGTTGATGGGCACGATATTGGTGGGCATGCAGCTGAGGGCACGACACTGAAGGGCAGTTACACTTTTCTTGTCTTTCTTGTTCAAACCTAGGACGATAGGGCATTGGAGGTGCCACAAATTCTTTTGGTAAATATGTTTCTTCCGGTAGTGGAGGTGACGATGATGGCGATGATGGTGATGATTCAGGGTAATTAGGATCAAAAGAAAGTGTTATATTGTCGTTTTGTCTTTTCGTACGTATTTCGAATCGTGGACAAGGACTTTTAATGTTAATGAGGACCTCATGATTCATGTGCCCGTTGATAATGTGTTTTGGATATTCTCTCCAGAGAATGAAAGGTGCTGGATCAAATTCCATTGAGGGTGAAGCCAAACATAGAATAAGAAAAATTAAGAGTGATTTAATTGATAACCATCCAGTTGTGGTCAACAGTGTTTTCCTTTTTCTATTAATATTTAGTTTATTCGAATTAAATTTCGTTCCATCGATTTTCCTTCCCATTTGATCTTCATTGATTTTCTTTTGCTCATCCGAAGGTTCGTTGAAAACTTTGAGTTTACTAAGATGTGCTGGTCTGACTTTACCTGCACTATCTTTTATCTTGTAAGCTGCATCATTTATTCTTTTTTCAACAATAAAAGGTCCTCGAAAATTCGGTGAAAATTTACTCTTTCAACTCGGTTTTAAGAGTAACCTTTTCTCCATCCTCCAGATGTTTAAAGTTGGAGTATTTATCATGCTGAAGCTTTTGTGAATCTTTAGCAGCAGCTGAAAAATTGGTGGCCATTGCTCTTATATTTGGCCACTCGTTTTCGAGAAATGATACGTAACTGTTGAGTGTGAGGCTCTCTTGAGTCCTATTGACAAATCAACAGGTAACGTTGGCTCTCGTCCATAAATTAGATAAAAGGAGGCTCTGGTACTCGAATTATTAGCACTATTGTAAGCGAAGGTGATCATCGGTAGGACCAGGTCCCATTTATTTTGCCGTTGAACATAGTGAGTAATCATTCGACACAAGGTATGATTGGTTTTCTCAGTTAAACCATTAGTCTGTGGGTGATAAGGTGAAGTTAAATAATGATCAGTTGAAAAGAAATAATTAACTTCTTTCACAATTTTTGAGGTAAAGTTTGTTCCTCGATCACTGATTATAATCTTGTCCATGTCTATAATCCATGTCTGGACATGATTTGTTCGATTAAGAATCGAGCGATAGTCGAAGCTAATTGCTTGTTTACGGCTCGTGTTTCTGCCCATCGAGTGAAATAATCTGTTGCTACGATTATATATTCTCGTCGATTAGAACAAGGCAATCGACCAACCATATCTATTCCAATCTTTTCGAAGGGTCTTGCGGCAGCAATAGCTTGAAGAGGAGCCTGAAGAGGCGCTGATCCTTTATTATTTAATTGACAAACAGCACAGCGCCGAACATAATCGTTAATATGATTTACCATTTTCTGCCAATAGTATTTTGCCGTAATCTTTTCATACGTTCGTTGAAAACCAATGTGACCAGATAGAATATCGTCGTGATTAGCACGAATAATTTGCGTTCGTAATTTCTCCGGCACGACAATGTTCCATGATGTTTCGTATGGTTTTTTAACAATTCTGAACAATATTCCTTCATTTATTTTATATTTATCCAGAACTTTCCTGTTCATTGTAACTCGATTCTCAATTTCAGTTTTTAATCGCCTGATGTGTGGATCTTCATCTTGAGCTATTCTCATCTGATTATCTGCTTCATTCGATTGATTATTCAGAAAAACGAATAATCTTTCATCATCATCAAGTTTATTTTCAACTATATCTAATTCATTCGGATACCTTGAGAGCATCGCAATCTTGATGATGTTTCCTGATTTATAGATAATTTTAAAATCAAATTCTTGCAGAAGTAATGAGTATCTAAGCAATCTTGGTGGTAACTTTTCTTGAGGTGAGAAAACATAAACTGCAGTGATCGGTCACTACTGAATTTAATTCCTCAGATAAGGTCTAAATTTCTCAATCGCGTAAACGATTGCACAACATTCTTTATCACTTATCGCATAGTTCAATTCAGGTCCTCTGAGTAATCGACTTGCGTAAGCTACTGGTTTCCATTGATTATCATGTTCCTGTAAAGAATCGCACCGACTCCGTAATGACAAGCATCACATCTCAGTTGCGTTATTAGTTTCGGATCATAGTGAACTAAAAGCGGTGGATTAGTTAATTTGGATTTCAATTCTTGAAAAGCATCATCTTGTTCTTTTCCCCAATTAAAACCAATTTCTTTTCTTGTTAGGTTAGTCAATGGTTTAGCCGTAATTGCGAAACCCTCAATGAATCTTCGAAAGTAAGAGCAGAGAGCAACGAATGCCCTTAAGTCAGTTAAATTAGCTGGAAGAGGGTAATTCTTAATTGCGGTCAGTTTGTTTTCATCGGGATACTGACCCTCTTTTGTTATCTTGTGGCCTAAATATAAGATCTCTGATTTACCGATAAAACACTTGGATGGTTTAAGGGTAAGTGAAGCATCTGATAGCCTCATCAATACTAAATCTAAGTGTATTAAATGTTCCTCGAATGTTTTGGAAAAAATGATAACATCATCGATGTAAACTAATACACAATTATATTTTAAACCCGAAATCACTCCATCCATTAACCTTTGAAAAGTGGCAGGAGCGCAAGTCAGTCCAAAGGGCATCACAACAAATTCAAACAAACCATCTTGTGTGATGAAAGCCGTTTTCTCTTGATCAAATGGATCCATTGCAATTTGATAATATCCACTTTTCAAATCTAACAAAGTGAAATATTTAGCTCCTTGTAAGCAATCCAAAGCTAATTGGATATCGGGTAATGGGTAAACATCTTTTTTTGTTACCGAATTCAACCTTCGATAATCGACACAGAATCTCTTCTCTCCCGTCTTCTTGTCAACCATCACGATGGGTGAGGCCCATGGAGAGTTTGATGGAACCACGAAACCATCATCAATTAATTCTTCAATCATTTTCGTGGCTAATTCCCGTTTCAATGCCGATAATCGGTATGGTGGTTGATGAATCGGAGGATGATCGCCCGTGTTGATTTGGTGTTTAACCATTTGAGTTCTTCCAATTTTGTCCCCAGAGAAAGAGAAACAATTGCGATGAGCGATTAACAATTGTTGAACTTTCTCTTTCTCAATATGCTCAAGACCAGAATCCAAATTAAATTGTTCCTCTTTACGAGGGACATTAACCATAGTTAGTTGTCCCTCTTCATCACTTTCCGAGTCCCAAATGTCAGGCAGTGATTCATCTGATGATGAATCATCACCATTATTTGTCTCTCTAGAAATTACTACAGTTTTATTGGAACAATTTATTTCAAGCGAAGCAATTCTCGCTATGTCTTGTCCTATTAGAATTTCTATTCCTGCAGGTAAATAATCGACAACCATTACAGTTGATTGGATTTTAATTATCTCTGAATGTGAATCGATAAGAGTGAAAGTTAATGTAATTTGTCCTGATGGTTTTAATGGCAAATTACTCGCTGTGTCTGTCCTTGGACCTTGATATGATTCAATCGAGACATGAAGTCGATTAACTATTTCTCTTGTTATTATAGTCACGTCAGACCCAGTATCAACTAGAGCAGAAAAATCGATATCATTAATTTTAACCTTCATGAAAATTAGATTATTATCATCGATTGAATTGAATAAGTTTTGAAGGACAGAATTTCTCAGAACCATCGAGACAACCTTGGGTCGTGACCAGTTATTATTAGGATTTTTATAGCCAGAAGTTGAAGGGTAATTTGTTTCATTTTCCTTTCTTTTCCTTTCTTCATCTCTTTTTCTGGATAAACATTGGTATTTTTTATGACCAGGTTTATTGCAATAATGACAAATTATACTTTTTCGATCCGATGAGTTTGATGTACCTTTTGGCAATAAGTTAACTACCGAAGATAATTTATCACCAATTAACTCAACTTGTTTCTTTAAATCATTAAATCCTTGTTGCCACCCCAATTGTTGCCTTTCATTACTTACAATCTGATTTCGTTTATATGTATTTTCAGCCACATTAGCTCGTCTTAGTAAATCTGAAACTGTTTCCATTTCGAATTGGTCTAAATGTTGTGATATCGCTGGCCACATTCCCCTTATCGCAATTCTTATAATTTTCTTCTCATTCATCTCAGATTCATATCTTCTACATAAATCTTTCATTTTGAGAATATAATTTGCAACGGGTTGATCAGCCTCTTGACGATAATCAAATATCTTTTGCTCCAACATAGTTCGATAATCTGATCTGCATAAATCTCTAACCATCATCTTCTTCAATGTAAGATAATCTTTTGGTCTCGATTTCACACTAGGAGATGCATAACAAGCATACCAACTTCTTGCTGTTCCTTGCAAATACATTGGTAATCGTGTTAATTTAGTCTCATCATCCCAGCCGGCAGCATCTGATTCAAATTCATAATTTTCAAACCAATCAACTAAATCTTCACCGTAATCGTAGCTCAACGCGTTGATATTATTCAAATTGGCAACGGGTATTGAAGCAACTATTGAACCAGTTGTTTTCTTACCTTTTGTCTCTTTGATTTCCACTTTATCACCTTCCATATTTTATACTTAATGTAAATCAAGGATAGCTTCTTCAAATTCAGGGATAATGGATTCAAAACAATTTAAATTATTAGTGTCTTCTTTTGGTTTATCAATCAATTCAATGGTAATTCTTTTGGGTGTACAATTCTTCCAACTTATTTGAATACATGGTTTTTTATCACTCTGATCATTTTTATTCATAATTTTATTACAATTTATTTTAAATGTAACTTTTCAAGACGTTCACGCTTAGTTAAACTAAACGGATGTGGATCTGAATGATTTTGTGATGGTTTATTTAGTTCTGGGTTAATGGAATCCGGGAGATAGAAAGTAACGGTCGAATAAGTTATATATTCAGCAATTTCTCTCGGTGATTAGTTTTGTATTGCAAGGAATGGCCGTTTATGATGTTGTTGCTGATATTTGTTGGATGCCCTGAGGAAAATTGCAGCTCGTCTATCTGCCTCTTCGAACTTTAAATGTGATTGTTTCAATTTATCTGTATCAAGTTTATTAGATTCGTAAATCTTTCTTGACTTAACTGCGCTTAATAATGCCTCTTTAATCCTTTTTTCTAGTTGACGTAAATTCTTTAAGGCTTTTGATTGCTTATACCTATCATTTTATATTAGGTAGATCAAACATGGCCGATTCTGACCAAGTTAGAAAAACTTTATTTCAACTTTAACTGAAGTAATTGCCTTCGGGATCAATACATTTCTGCCAGCGAGAAGGAAGAGCTTCTAGCCCCGCCCTAAACCAAGATGGCGGCTTAGAATAAAAAAACTCAGTTACAGCCGTCTTGACGGCTTCAACCGATGGATAGCGTTTCCCGCGTAGAAATTGTTTCAAATTTTTGAACAAAAAATAATCAGAAGGGGCTAGGTCAGGTGAATATGGGGGGTGTTCAATTGCAAACCAGCCTAATTCCTTGATAAACTCCATCGTATCCTTGGCTTTATGAGGCCTCGCATTGTCTTGGAGGAAAAGTGGTTTCTTTCCCCTTGCGCGTCTGACCAGTGGGTCAACTTCTTTCAATTGACTTCTATATAGTTCAGCATTAACTGTTGTACCTTGTGGAAGCCAAAAAGTAGTGATTATACCATCTGCTGACCAAAAAACACAAGCCATAATCTTTGGGTCTCTTTTGTCGCTAGTTGACCTTTCGGACAGCTCTTTCGGGTCAGATACCCACTCTAGGGACTCAGTTCTTGATTCAGGGGAGTAAACAGAGACCCAAGTCTCGTCCATAGTGAAAACATAATCGAAAAACTTAGTTCCGACCTGCTCAAGGAACTCCAAAGCTCTTTTACAAATCTCAACACGTTTGTCTTTTTGGGCTTGGGACAAATCATGAGGCACTTTCCTTGGGGTCAACTTTCTCATACCTAACAGGTCCTTAACAATATGATGCATAGTACCATATGATACCTTGAACATTGCTGCAAGATTATCAATTGAAATATTTCGATCATTCTCAATCGCAGCACGTACAGGGTGGACCAATTTTGAGTAATCAATTTGGAGGCTACCTTCTCTTTGCGTTTGATTATTAAGGTCTTCCCGACCACACCTAAACTCGCGGATCCACCTATTCATTGTAGGGACACTAGGGCACGCACCCTGAAAAGCATTTACCATTTCCGAATTGATTTGATGATTAGTCCAGTTATTACGCGCAAGCACTTTCAAAAAAGCTCGATGTTCAATTGACGCCATGACACTAAATTTTTAATAAAAAAATAACCAAAACTCAAACTAACACAAAACTTTGTAAACTTAGTAAATAAACAATGCTCTATAATATGACACTAACGCCACCTATCAGCAGCTTCTCTAACTTGGTCAGAATCGGCCATGTTTGATCTACCTAATATGATTTGTTATTAAAACTTCGCTTTTGATTTCTCGACAATCCTTCCGGACAGTAAGGTCTTGGATCTAATGATTCGGTTTTAACAAATTCAAGCAGATAAACAAAGATTAACAAGCAATACTAATAAGCAAAGAGAAAAAAAGAATCAGTTTTTCACCCAACTTGCTCTTAAAGCTGTTTAAGGTGAAAAACTGAAGAACTTACCAAATTCCATTGGTTCCAATTCACAATTGAAAATGAGATTTTTAACAAATACAATTAACAATTTATTAACAGTTATTTAATAACAATCAGGAGATTCCAGATCCTGGTAACCTCGCCAATTGAAAGCAATAATTTCAATAATGTTGAATGAATATTAAAACTTTAATCCTTTACTCTTGAACTGTTCAGGGAGAGTGTGTTTTTATTGATACAATGTATTACATTAATACAATAGGTGACGAAGGTGATCATGATCAGAAGATCTTGATCACCTTCTGGAACTTTCTAATAATCGTAAATCGATAGTTTCAATTAATATTTAAAATATATCATTATCATCATTTCATTATCTTGCATGTTATCACGATAGTTGATAATAACAATCATAAATATCAGACTGCGACCAAGGTCAGTATTGATCGGTCGCAGTCTGATTGACATTTTTTGTTACACCGTTCCATTACTGTAACTATTAAACAATCATTTACTGACATTCCAATGAACATGTGATTAACGTTCACTTGTTTCATAGGCAAAGAGTAATAGCAAGAGAGAGCAGTTGATACCTCTTACGATAAAATTAGTTCACAAGGATGAACCAGATGGAGGCACAAGTCAATAGTAAGAATGGTCAATACGCTGAAAAAATGGACTTTTGAGTTAAGAATTGAAACTTTGTAGTTTTGTAGGGACATAAGAAAGAACTCGTTTGTTAAAAATTTCATTGTGATCTGATCGTTTGTTTTCGAGCAAATGCCGTTCAAAGTCCAAACTTTAGATCACTTTTTCTCAGCATTGGTAGACTTTTTAGGAATGAAATTGTAAAAGTGTGAAATTGTGAAAGTGTAAGGACAACTTTTTATGCGCTTTCAAAAAATCAGACTTTTACAGACTAGAAATATCTACAACTATCAGGCCAAAGCGATGTTAAGTCCAGATAAGTCGAACGCTTTAGGTATTTTGTTACGAATTCTAAACGAACTTTTGGACTAAATGATCGTAAGGAAGTAAGCTCAGTATCTATTTCGCAAAAAAAAAATCATAAAAATAATCATTAGAATAATAATTAGAAAAATTGATTAATTAAATCTCCATTGACTTGCTGCAGTTTTTGCTATTTACTTGAGCTCCACCTGGTTCATCGGTGTGAACTAATTTTCCTGTTTTTTTGTAGTCTGCAGTCTCTTCCTATTACTCTTTGTTCATAGGTCACATTCAAGATAAGTGAGGTCACTTCGTTTTGTAGACCAGCGAAATGATAAATTTGTAAGTTAAGTAATTGTTTGGTTTTTCGTCCAACAGATGGAAGCGCTTCACGGAGAATTGAATGTTAACCCATTCGGACTAAAGGTGTCGCTGGAGTTTTGTTCCAACTTATTTTGATTTTGCATATGACAATTTCCTCCCATTCCTGACACTTTTTTTTAATTGTTTTGTTTCCAATTGTTTCTTGTTTTAATTAATAAACGTATTAAAGATGGTTAGTGGACCCGCTGTGGATAATCAAGGTAAAAATATAGTTATTTGTGATAATGGGACAGGATTCATCAAGTGTGGATACGCTGGTACAAATTTTCCTGCTTATACATTTCCATGTATAGTTGGCCGGCCCATCATCAGGGCAGCTCAACGATTCGCTGATGTCGATATTTCTGATCTTATGGTTGGTGATGAAGCCAGTAAACTGAGATCCGTATTGGAAATATCATATCCCATGGAAAATGGTATTGTTCGCAATTGGAATGACATGTGTAATGTTTGGGATTACACTTTTAACAATAAAATGGGAATCAATCCGAAAGAGTGTAAAATACTCTTAACGGAACCTCCAATGAATCCATCAGATAATCGTAAAAAAATGTTCGAAGTGATGTTTGAAAATTATGAATTCCATGCTGTTTATATCGCCATTCAAGCTGTTCTCACCCTTTATGCCAATGGCCTTTGCACTGGTGTTGTTTTAGACAGTGGTGATGGGGTTACCCATATATGTCCAGTCTATCAAGGATACGCCCTTCCTCATCTGACTAAGCGATTGGATATCGCCGGTCGCAATATCACTAATTACCTTAGTGAGGTACGATGATTATCAACTATTCACGTTCTTCAATATATTTCTCATATATTCCAATTGTCTGTCAATTGATTCTGTTTGTCTCTCCCTTTTCTTTTAGCTTCTATTACTGCGAGGATACGCCTTTAATCACACTGCTGATTTCGAAACAGTGAGAATTTTGAAAGAGAAACTGTGTTATGCCGCATATAATATTGAACAAGAGCAGAAATTAGCCAATGAAACAACCTACCTCACTGAGAACTACACGGTAATTTACTTTTATTTCTTTTGAGACCTTTTTTCTTCAACATTGATCTGATTATGTGATTTATTGTTTCTTGTTATTGTATTTCAGCTTCCTGATGGTAGAGTTATTACAATAGGAGGTGAACGATTTGAAGCACCAGAGGCTCTTTTTCAACCTCATTTGGTTAACGTTGAAAGTCAAGGAATCGCTGAATTAGTTTTCACAACCATTCAAAATGCACCGATGGACATTCGAAGTGAACTTTATAAACACATTGTTCTAAGTGGAGGTTCTACTATGTATCCTGGTCTACCTTCTCGTCTTGAAAGAGAAATTAAACAACTATATTTGGAAAGAATATTGAAAGGTGATGCCGGAAATCTTTCTGTAAGTTTTTCTCCTCACCGAGACAATTATAACAGTTAATGAGATTAATTTTGTTCGATAGTCACTAATCGGGACTAGTCCTCTTTCTAACTTGACAGTAAGGGTATGGTTTGTTATGGTGATATCGATAACTTTGTCATGACGACTATTATCTCATGAGAGTAGTCTCATTTTCTGTTATCATGAAATGTATGAGTAATCAATTATCTTGTTATTTTTCCCCCCAGAAATTCAAAATTAGAGTTGAAGATCTACCTGGTAGGAAAGATATGGTTTTCATTGGTGGATCTATTCTGGCGAGTACTGTTAAGGATCGAGACAACTTTTGGTTATCCCGAGCCGAATGGGCAGAGTATGGACCGGACAGAGCAATGGCCCTTGTGAAAAGCAATTCCGCAATTTAGATATTTAATTGATGTTTTTCTCAATTTTATCACAAATAATTACCTTGAAATCGTTTCCTCTCTCTCTCTCTCTCTATTTCTCTCTGTCTCTCTTTCTCTCTCGCTTTCTCCCGGTGAATAAAATCCTCCATTTTTCATCAACCGTTAGTTAATCAACGATGATTATGATTATATTAATATAAACTATTTGCATAAAAAGTTCAACTTTTGCATCTAATTAATTTATGAATCAAAACACATGAAAAAAAGATAAATTTATATATATTATAATTAGAATAGAACAGTAAAATATTAACTAATCAGTGTGAGAGAGAAGGACAAAAATTAGAAAAAACTGAAAAATTAACAAAAAGATGAAAAAAAGATTCTGATGATTTGATGATTGCTCGTGAATTCACTGAATCAATACAATTGGAATCAATCATTTAGTCTCAATATGAACTCTTTTTCGTTGTTTACTTCTAATGGTCAACATAATTGTTGCTGACCAAAGGGGGAAAAGATAATCTAATTTAATGTTATGATATTGTCTTTACAATCCAATCCTTGAATCTTGATATTCTAGTACAAACTCCTGGTAAATTTGGTTCAGCACAACCGATTCCCCATGAAATGATGCCGGCGAGAAACCATTTACCATCGTCACCCTGAACTTGAAGTGGACCACCAGAATCACCCTGAAAACATATATATAGAGAGAGAAAACCAAACGATATTAGAATATTAAAGCAGGAAGAAAATAAGAATCCAAAGAGAACTGTTCATTCATCTTCGAATCTTGAATTTCGCCCACTTACCTGACAAGAATCACGACCACCCTCTTCGTAACCAGCGCACATGAATATCTCTGGTATATACTCATGTCGACCCGCCGAGAGGAACATATTTTTACAAGCATCGTTACTCACAATTGGAACTTTAACTTCCTGAAGAACCGAAGGTAGAATACCGCCTGAAGGGAAAAAACGAAAGAGAGAGAGAGAGCAAAAGTTTAGCCAATTGTTGGAAATCGAATTTACTTTCGATTATTCTTATTATTGTTTTACCTTCGCTTAAACGACCCCAGCCCGTTACAGTCGCATTTCGACCAACCATTTCAATTCTATCCGGTGGTAAACAAATCGGTGCAATATGAGGTTGAAAGTCAATCGGTTCGTCCATTTGAACTAAAGCGAGATCATTCTCATAGGTAAAGAAATTGTAATGAGGATGGACGACCTTCTTTTTAGCCCCTCTTTCAACGTACGCATATGGTTCTAGAACATTAGCAAAATCATATTCGCCAACTCGAATTCTTATCGTTGAAATTATCAAACTGAAAAGAGAATAGAAAAAAACAAAGAGAAACAAATTGATTTAGAACATGTAAAATATTATTGCTATCCAATTGTATTCACAATCAGCTGATGAGATAATTAAAGTGATCGTTTTTTCAAGCTCAAGTTGAAAAGTTGAATGAATCTATTAATAATTATGAATGACAAGAATAGACAATATTAGAAAGGTAAAAAATTAATGGACAATTGTCACCATCAGGATTACCAAGAGAATGTCATTCTCATCATGGACATGATAATGACCGGAGGGCACGAAACCTCTCTCTCTCTCTCTCTTGATCAAATGTCTTCATATCTGACCTGATTTTTAGAGTGTTTATCGTTTTTCTAATTCTATTAATGTTTTGATTCTAATTCCATCTCAATAGCATCTAACTAATAATCATCCATTTAGCTGGAAGCAAAATGTCAGGTAAAGTAAATGAAAAAAAAACAGAAAGGAGTTGAAACGCTCAATCAGCCGTCTGGTGGAGTGAACATTGAATAAGGTGATAATGAAGATGATGATGATGATGATGATGATGGAGACTAAGCTAACCCGGCTTCAGGTAAACGCTTCACTTAATCTTGAAATCTTTACCTTCACCAGGTAACAGAAAGGAGGAGATTACAGTCTCACAGTCAAAGTTACTCCTTTGAAACTGACTCATTATTACCCCAACAGGTAATACTAACTATTAATAACACAAAACAATAGTTGAAGATAAAACAAAATGATGACGGGATAATCGATGTGACAATTTCCTTGTCCAGTTATTTCCAATAGATCACTTTTTCCGCTGATGAGATGAGAAATATTGATCACCTTTCCATCTTCATCTTCATAATTTCATCAACTTTCAACTTACACCATGAAAACTAATTTCAATCATCTCCATAAGCAAATATCATGTGGATCTACAAGTGATGATTACACTTTGGTTTTACCGTTACTTTTAATTGATTGAACAATTTTCACAATCAGCTGATTTCAAATCTTTGAATTTTCTGAACAAAAAAACTTTCAATTAGATGAACCTACTTAAATTATACAAAGGGCATTGATCTCATCATCCTCATCACCATCATCATCATCTTCATCCTTATAAGGTCTTTAAACTAACACCTTGATTTATTAACTAACATCATTTTTAATCATGATTATGATCAATTTTAACCTTAACACATTTAAAATGTTTGATTAGGAACAACAGCAAAAAAAGGTTTCAGGTCAAATTAAGATTGAAGCTTTAAAGATTATCAATAGATTATAATGATTAACAATTAACTAATCACCACTAATCAGTATCGAGACACTCATTCAATCAATCAATCAATCAATCAAATGATCAACTGAATTTTCAGATAAAATTCAAATTAAAGGCTTTAATTGAGTTCTGATTAACTCTTTTACCCTTTCAATTAAAATCTTAATTAGGAACAAACTTTCAGATGATTAATTGGTTTCTAGTTTTAAACTTTCGCCAACAATTTAACTCTCCCTTTAAGAGACTAATTTAAATTCAACTAGATTAACGATTAAACATTGAAAGAGTAAAACTGGTTTACTCAAATCAATGATTAGAAAAATTGATTAATTGAATTAATCAAATTAATCAGAGTATTGAAAGGAAATTGAAAGTATTATATCAAATCCCATCATTAAAATTACCGTTATAATGGCAACAATTAACTTCAAAGATACTAATTAACAAGTCAACAAAACTAATTTACTTTCCAATCATAAATAATCAACAATCAACGACAAAAAATTACTAAATTTGATTCAATACAAAAGAGGAAGTTGCTGAATATTTTTATACCAATTAAGGTAAATGAATGATTTAATTAACTAACACTCAATGATATTATAATCAAATCAATATTAATTGATTGATTGTCATCCTGATTGATAAAATGATCAATGAACATAACAACTCATTGATCAAATTATCAACAATTAACTTTGATTGTTTCATTTTATCATTGAAACCAAACAATTAGTTTACAAAAGACACATCGAGAATGTATCATAATTGATTGGATGAAACCGTAATTAACACTAAATTTAGTCAACAATTAACAGAAATCAGTAATCATCACCGAAGACAATCAATTGATCATAAATTCATTTTTTTCTTGTAAAAAAAAATCAGGTTATTATTTCAATGTTGATTGTCAATAACATGGATCAACTATCATGACCTAAATCATCAATATGATTAAATAGTAAACAAGTAAATTGTTGCCAAAGAAGTTGAAAAAATAGCTACAATCGTTAATTTTGTTCTGACACTAAATTGTTATCATGAATTGTTGTTAATACCATTGAATGTAATCAACAACGTTGCTGATGGTGACGATGATGATGCTGTTGATTGTGATGCAATGATTAATACAATTGGTTTGAAAAAAAGGCTTCAAACTAATGAAAAACAATTACAACAATTGTTGTTTATTTCTCGTTGTTAATGGTTAATTATGCACGACAATGAATCAACATCAACATCAACAATCAAATCTAAATGAAGTTATTCAAGTTCATCATTAAATAGGATGTCGCACTCCGATTGTCACGTTGTAATATAACAATTTATCATCTTAATCATCATCATTCATCAATTGCGAAAATTAAATCATTCATTTTAATAATGAACATTTAAAGGGTCATCTTAATCATCTTAATAACAATAATAATCAAGCGGATGCAATGGAAACAGAAAACTAATCAGTTTCTGTAAATTGGTCAGTTAATTACGATCCATTAGCTTGGAACTAAAGTAAATTAAATGATCATCATTAAATTGTTTTCAAGTTAATCACTTAAACTTATATTAATGATTAATTGTTTTTCTAATATGTATTCACAATCAATTCTGATTATCAATTAATGACAGTTAATATTTATTTTTTGTTTTACTCTCCTGTTGAATTAACATTGATCATTTTTTATTATTTATCCTTTCAACACTTGATTGTAACATCAACAATCAACTGATTAGTTAGTGATGATGATGATGATGGTGGTGATTAAGAATAGGTCATATCCTTATGATTACTGAATCCGTGATCATCATCATTTGATTGACAAGAATTAAAATTAACCAGAACAATTAAGTATTCAGGATCTTTCATGGTAACAATTTTCTTAACTCCAGGTTATCATAATATTTATGTTCATCTTGTGTATTGTGATAATAATAATCAATAATATATCAACTGTAACAATCAAGTAAATAATACAACTAATTTGTTGATTGTGATGCTGTTTATTTATCTTGATAGTAGTAGTTTTAATTATCTTGTCATTAGATTAGTGTCTTCATCTTGATCCGGTTCAAAATTAACTGTAAAAATCAACAAAAGAAACTGTTAATCTTTTAATTTCTTAATAATCAACTGATTGATTGTATTGATATAATACTATGATGGTTGAAATCAATTATTGTATTACTATTAATAGATTAGCCTACCAACCAGATCTTGATTAATGTTCAAATATCAATTGTGTTGTTAACAATTGATTATCAACAATACAACAAGATTAACCTTTTTGATTAAGGACATTGACAATCAGTTGGTTGAATTTAATTGTAATCATCATAATCTCCCTAATTTGCTTTTGATTATTTTCATATAATAATAAAGTTAATTTTTCAATTACTGATCACGATTGTTATTATTAGAAAGTTAAACAACAATTTAAACTTGAAAAGTAAATGAAAATGAAAACATTAAAATAACAAGTAACCATTTAAATAATCAAAGTTAATCCACAACAATTGACCTAAATTATAATTATCATGATGATGATGATGATGATGATCAAAGTAACACAATGAGAAAATAATTTTGATCAAATTGAATTAAGACTATTAGTTAATTCATATAACAACAATGATAATGATTATGTTCAAGTGTCACTGATTATTGTTACTCGAACAACAACAATTTAAGGTCAAGAAGCTTAATCATAATCATAATCATCTTAATCATTACGAATTAAACATTGTACCATATCAATAATGATGAAATTTTCACAATTGAATTTAAAGTTAATCATTAACAATGAGAGGTAAAGTCTATGAACTTATTGTTTGAAATTGTTTCTTTCTCTTAATTCAACCAACCAGAATTTTGTTGAATCTTTTTCACCATCAAATTAAATCAGAATCATGATGATGATGAAAAAAATAGATAAAGAAAGAGAAAAGGAGAGAGAGAGAAAAAAAATGAAAGAGTTCATAAGAGTATATCCAATAGATAATATATAAGAAGATAATGAAGATAAGATTGAAACATTTTCTCATCTCCACCTAATTATCATTCTGATAATCTATTATTACCTCCCACTTCCTCTTCCTCTTCATGATGAAAATAATTAACTAATCATTTAGGTGTTACTAGTAATTTACTAATCAACTCATCTACAAGAAGCTAAATGCAAATCAAGATGAATCAAGAGAGAGAGAGAGAGAGAGAGAGAGATGATAAACTTAAAGGTGAAAAATTTTTCTTTCAAGAGAGAGAAAAAAGTTGCTAATGATGAAGATAATCATCTTCATCTTCATCTTCAGAGGCTTACGGGAAAGAGGAAGCTGATGACCGTTAATCAAAGATGATCTTGTTTTCTTCATCTTCAATTACCTGTTGATGATCAACATAACCAGAAGCAATTTCAATGGATTTGACTGGTACCTGAGAAACAAAAATACTAAAACCTAATCATCAATGATTATAAATTTGTTTCGAGTAGTTTAAGTTAATTGATAAAACAAATTTTCACTCTAAATTAATATTAATAGTTAACTGATTTAGATAATCGCCTTTAAGCCATTCAAGTTGTTTTGTTTTTGTTTTAGTCTCTAGCTAATAGTAAATTGTTATTGGCTTAATTGTAAAAGAAAAAAAAATTATCGTATTATTAATAATTACTGTTTAATTAATCTGAAAACACGTCATAAGATTTAAATCAATCATGTGAATTAAATCTTGATTGTTGATTACGTGTTAAAGATTTAGCATTTCAGGTCTAAAACAATTAAGGTGATATAATGGTAATTGTTAATGTCCGGGTTTAATTTGTGAAAGTCGTTTGCAGATAATTAGTTTAATCATCTTGTAATATCAAAATGATAGCGATTTTTGCGATAATCAAAAAGTATCAATGATGATTAATTGATTTACGTGGATTTATTATCCATATCGATATCGATATTAATGTCTGATCAGTGAGAGGAAAATGATTGTGATGATCAACACTCTGATCGTAGGAATTGTGGGTTATTTGACAATTGGGTGAAGGAAACTGATCATTTCCAACCAGGGGGTTTACTTCACTACTTTTTCATCCTTCATCTCTTTCTTTAACTTCCCATCATCATCATCATCATCATCTTCATTCTCATCATCATCATTATCAACATCACCTTTTTGCAACTTTTTTTTTCTACAACTTGTACTTGTTTAATCAGGAAAACGGGTTAATGTTGGTTAAGGTTGTTATCCAACATTTCTTGGGCTATATATAAAAAAGCACTTGATATATTAATGATAACGGAAAAATGATCTTACTCATCAACACAGTGACCTGCAGTTGCGATCCATTGATTGTTAAGAATAGCTCCTCCACATCGATGGGTACTTGAGAAGCCAAAAAATGAGGTTCGACGAACGGAGACCTGAAAAGATGAACCAGAAAGTGACCATTATCACCAATGTAATGTATTACCAATCGAGCGATAGAAAAGTTTATCAAAACAAGAAGAGGAAAAAATTTTAATAACATTTGAAGTTTTGAAAACTTTTCTAATTTTCAATATCAGTTTATATTCTTACCTGCCAAGGCCAAGCACCGAAAGCGGCATTTTTACCACCGACAACCTTTGCTTGGTGGGTTAATGTTGGAGCACCACATTGAACTGGGAGGAAGATAAAAGTGTAAATTGTTATGAGAGAGAAGAAGTAAAAAAAATGGAGCAGAAAAACAGTAATTTCTTTGCCAAAAATTTGCAATTTAAATGGAAAATGATTAAGATGAAGATGAGGATGAGGATTTTTTTACGGAAATGATGATAAAACAAAAGGATGATGAGGAAGTTAAATTGATGCATAAATGTATTGAATAAAGTGTTAGTAGTTACCTTTGGATGGGTCAAGGATGTTATGCTTATTAGGAGATGACCCTTGATAGGGATAAGGTGGTCTTGGCCTATGGGAATTAAAAGATGAGCTTGTTGTTGGCGGTGGTACAGTTGTCGTGGTGGTTTGTGGAGGTGGTGTAGTGGTGGTTATCATATTTTGAATGCTTATTGGATTATTATAAGATGTTAATGTTGTTGTTGGTGGTGTGCTGGTTGTAGTTATCATGGAGGAGGTTGGAGGTGGACGTGAAGTTGTACTGGTTAACAGTGGATATTTGGTTCGAGTTGTAAAGAAATGTTGATAAAAATTAGTTGGACGAACTGGAATCGGTCGTACAGTGGGTCGCAGGAAAGGTGATGATATTGATGAAGATGAAGATGACCCAGTGGCCGAGGTAGGTCGATTATTAACATTATTAACTTGATTGTTACCATGATTAAGATTATTATTATTATTATTTCCAAAAACAGAAAAAATTGGCGGACGAAATGTATTCAGAATCGATAATGGTTTTGCCGGAGTGGTGCTTGTTTGGCCAGGCCATACTTGTGCTATAAATAAACAATATAAACAGGTAAATGATTAGTGATGATGATAAAGATGATGATGATGATGAAGTGAAAGTTAAGAAGAGATCATTTTTTTGTTGTTGTTTTCTTTTCACCTTGACTTTCAAGCTAAAGTGTTTGAAGTTTTTTTCTGTTTATTTTTTGATTTAGATTAAGGTCAAATTATATTGATATGAGCAATCAATCATCTCGATGATGATGATGATGATAAAGGAGGATTATCTTACCATGTAAAGGACTAGGAGATGTGTTCCAGGTTTCAAATTGATTCCAAGATGATTCTGGACGAGATGTTGTCGTTGGTGTGGTTGGTGCTTTGGTTGTCGGAGGAGCTGAAGGTGATGATGATGATGATACTCCATAAACGGATGGCCTAGTTTCACCTAAGAATGATGAAGATGAGGATGAAGATGAAGAGGTCGATGGAGATGATGACTGGGACCATGAAAAGCTTGACGGTTTACTGGTTGGCTTAAGAGTGTAAAATGGTGATGAAGGTGATGAAGATGAAGATGATGAAGATAATGAATTATCAATGGTATTGGTTGATGAAAATGATGAAGATGAAGATGCTACTGTTGAACTTGTTGGAAATGTTTCAACAAACGATGAATGTAAAGGTGAAACCATAGTTGGTTTATTAGATGATGATGATGATAAGGAAGATGTTGAAGTATATCCCATGTTATTAGATGACGATGATGATGATATACCGTTAATCCCGTGATGATTTTTATTATTATCAATTGAGTTAAAGGTATCATTGTGTCCACAACATGATCCAAATAAGAAACCATCAACACAGGTACCAAGGTGTTTACCTTCAGTTTTAATACATTCCCAGACAAACATACAGGTTCCCTCCTCGCCGATTGCATTATTACACGGTTTTGGGCTGATCTTGAGGGATCCACCTGATTAATTAATCACAATTAAGTCACACAAATTGTGTACAACCACAATAATTGTAATTGAATCCAATGATGATTTCATTATATATCCAAACGATTAACACAATAATAACAAAGAAAGAGAAAAGTTTTCATAAGATAAAAAGAAATGAATGAAATTGTAAAAAATTGTCAATCTAATCGTCTAATTGATTAGGCGATCATCTTAATCAATGGTCACTTACCTTTGGTCAATCTTACAATGGAGAGTAAGTAAACAAAGATGAAAAACAACAGCCTAATCCGTTGATGGAGATTCAAAGTTAATTTCATCTCATTTCATTAACAAGTAATTTAAACTAGATTAGTCTGATCCGAACACAATAAAAATAATGTCAATGATAACCATGACATAATTGAATCGATGGATTAACAACAAACAAATCAATCAATATACAAGAAGAAGACAAGATTAATCAAACAATCAATTTAAATATTAAATATAAATTAAAATATAAAAAACGATTGGATTAGAAGAAGAAAAAAAAATTTTGATTAGATCTAATTTGATTAATCACATAGTCTCCAGGTCCAACAAGAATAGTTGATTACTCGATTATTATTTAATAGCTGCGAAACATTTACAATTGATTAATTTACAATTAACTTAAATGATTAAATAACAACAGAAAAAGTTATAATCTCTTGTTGGATGTTACCTGTTACCTTAACGGTAAAACGACTTGAGATATACTATTAAGATGCTTACTTGACAACATTTCCCGTCTCACCCTCCTTCCCTTAAGTCTCCCTCTTATCATCATCTCTCTCTCTCTCTCTCCTCATTATTTTTATCATCATCTTCATCTTCATCATCATCATCATCATCTTCTTCTTCTTCTTTTTCTTCACCTTTTTTTTCTAAATACGAACAAGAAATAAAAAGGTAAGAATAGAAGATCCCCTTTTTTTGAGGAAAACTAATCTTCTCTTTCTTTCTCTTTCTTTCCTCTGGCTGACCGAGTTTACCGTTACCTTTTTTCATCATCATCATCATCATCATCTTGATCATCCCATTCCAAAAATCCTCTCCTCCCTCTTCCCTTTATTAGCTCATTTTCCATGACGATGCTTCCACACTTCGGTTACCAATGAAAAAGATGAAGATTTTTTTTCCTCAAACGAAATCATCATCATCATGTTCATTATACATTCGTTTGTTAATTTAATTTAGTTACAATTGCGATCCGTTGAGAAAAAGCGAAATCAAATTGCTTCTTAATTGTTCCCCTTTAAATTATCATTCCAAATCATTGATTGACGATCAATCATCATTTCAATTTAATCACAAATATCAATTTCATTATCGATCAAAATTAAACTCAATCAATCATTTCAATTTTTTTTGCCACAAATCATAACGAAAGTAACGAAAAGTTTTTATGATTTAATTGTTTCAAAGCTTAATTAGAGAATCAGGTTTAATTAATATCATTACATTGGTTTGTTTTTCTGTAATAATTAAACTGATACAAGAATTGACAATTAATATCAGTTGTCAGTAATTGATTACAATCAAATGAGACAAGAAAACAATAAAATTTGATCAACTTAATTAACCTCAATTAATTTCATCAAATCAAGTTCAATTTGTCCATTCATTATAACTGATTTAAATGTAATCAAATAATCATCATCATTATCATCATTAACTTGATTTGTATATTGAGTTTAATTAACTTGATTGTTGTAAATTTTTTTTTTATTTGCCAGTGATTAAGTTAATAAGGTCAAGTTAATTGTTGGCTTAATTTTATTTCCGGAGTCCAAGTTTAAATTTACAATCAAAAGAAACCTATTTGGGTTAAATCCAATTACAATTAGATGGTTAATTGTTATTACTTAATTTACTCTTAGTAACACAATCTACTAATCATTAAAAGCCTTTAATTGAAATAATCAGAGTAAATTGTAACTCGACAATTAAACTGAATCATTTTTTTTTTGACTACATGATCACCCGGGAGATTGAATCATTAGCATAGTTGATTAAATCGTAACAATTAACTAATTTACCTTCAACGATTAAAGGTGAAACAATAATGATCAGAAATTTTATCCTCAATAAAAAGTCATTGGACTTAATTGTTGATGAGAATTAAAAATAATTTAAATACTATTTAAATTGTAGAGTTCAAGTATTTCTGAATTGAAGATGATTGTTGAAAGACTCTTAATTGTGATAACATTGAATAGTTACAATTAGTATCACCTCTTGATTATCACTTGGATAACTTAAATCAAGACTGATTGTTTCGATATAATTAAAAGTAATTGTTACAATTAAACTTTGTTGTAGTCTTTTTTTTAATATAAAAACATTTTATCACAATTTATATCAATTTTATCAATGATGGGATGTTGTTGTTGTTTGTTTTTGTCAATTGATTCAAATAGTTTTCATAATAATCAATGTTAAAGTGTAGCAATTAAGGGTAATTGCTCAGTTGATTACATTACAATTAGTATGGTGGGAGAGAGTAGGAGGACTTGATAAGGTTTGAGTGGTGTTGTTAACGGTATTTCAATTATATAATAATAAAGTTTTACAAAAAAAATTGCATTAGAAGTAATTAATTTGCTTTTTACAATTAATTTACTGATAAATCCTCAGTTGATTTATCAAAAATTGGTGCTATATAATTAGATTGATTCATGTTCCTATTATTATTATTGTTGTTGTTATTATTAAAATTTCATGGTATTTCAATTGATTGCTTATTGATGTGGGAGTTTGAATGATGATCACTTTAAATTGTTATTCCTCTTAATTAGTGTATGTATATATCAATTACAAAAGGTAATTATTAGTTAGTTAATCAATGTCAGTAATGTTGAGAAGATCGTTGATGTTGATTAAATCTCTATGGATGATTAGGAGAGGAAATAAGTTGATTAATTTGATTCCAAAATCAAATGGTGAAATAATTGGTTAATGGTTGAAAGATGAAGATGACGAAGATGAAGATGATGAGCAAGAAAGATGAAGAGATTCAATAAACAGATATCAAGAAAGGAGATGATGATTATGAAGATGAAGATGAAGATGGAGACGATGATGATGATGATGATGATGATGATGGTCGCTTGTTATCACTGGTTCGATGAATAAGATGACCAGGATTAAGATGGAAAACAAAGAGAGCGGCGGAGAGAGAGAGAGAGAGAGAGAGACAGTGGAGAAAGTGTTGAATGGAATGGAGAACAACTTATCATCCATGTGGAAGATGATTGGAAAACGATTGATTGATTGGAAAAGGAATGATATGAATTGAGAGAGAAATCATCAAAATTAAATGTCTAATTAGCACCAAGAGACATTGATTGTTCAAAAATTCATTCAACACAACATATTGTAATAAATATTATTAACTATTTTCTCTTTACGCTAATTAATGTTGCATCTTGTCAATGTTTTCCAGCTTTGTATCATAATTATAATAGAAATCTGTCTATTTATATAATAATATTGATTAAGATTGAGAAAAAAAATAGTTAATTGATTAGTTTTGTTAATGAAAAATTATACTATAGTATATCTCACTTTGTTTTTTGAGTTCCTGAACTTTTCTCTCTCTCTCTCTTTCTGGAAAATTAATTTCTTCACATAATCAACTCTAATTATATGATAATAATCAATAGTTAATAATAATAATTGTAATATTAATAAAATACTATATCATCACAAAATTTAAATAACATGTTTTCTTGTTAACATTCAGATTTATCTTCTTCCACAAGTTGCTGTTTATCATTATCTGTATCAACGGAGGTCGGATTAAGTGCCGTTTGTCTTATGTGTACTTGTGGTGATGATCGATGGACTATACTTGATGGCGATAGAACAGCTGATCCAAGTGAAGGTGGACTTTCATAGACATGTTCTTCCGGTAACTTTTTCTCTAAAATATCATCAGCAATCTCATAAAGTCCAACTTGTTGCTTAGATACTGAGGTTTCTTCGGTGGTACTACTTTGTTTAGCTCCTTCACCTCCATTTCCAAGAGCTTCGTACATTGGATTACTAAAATCGGTCGTTTTTATGGTTCCAAGGTGAAATTCACTGTCCAATGGTTCCTGAAAAGATAGATACTGAAGGAATAAGCAAAAAGTGTTACACGAAAACCCCAAAAGGAAAACCAGTTCACCAAAATTAGAAGGGAAATTGAGAAAATAATTAAGATCCAAATCAACTCACCCCATTGGTGTTTTCATGAGGCCCATTGTGCATGAACGTTGGACTTGAAAATTCAACATTGGTACCACTTCGGAAAGATACACTTTGGTTCTTGAATCCAGGTTTACTAAAATGGAAAGTGAAAAGAAAATAAACAAAATAAATTCAAGATAAATATTCATGTATCATATTGAAATTGTCAGGATAGTTAACATTGGAAATATGATTCTTACAAGTTTCGTTTCTTGAAGAATAGGAATAACCCTGAGGCTAAAGCCAATGCAATGAGAACCAGCAGAATGGGTAAAATGATGTTAGCAAATATTGCTGATGGTCCACTGATGGGATATTTGTCAACCCTTGTTTCACAATGTGGCCCTTCAAAGTTGGGTGAGCATTTACATAATGTGACGGTATCTTTATCACAGTAACCTCCGTTTCGACATGGGCATCGGTATGGTTCAGCGTAAACGTTTTCAAATCCAATGTTACAATGACCCGTTGAACTGGTTGGACCTGAGCTTCCGTCTGGACATGCACATCGATATCCTCTTGGTATTATTAGACATAAATGTGAACAAGTTGTTGGTTTACATGGATTGGGAGCTATAAACAACAAGAACAATTAAATTAGTGGTCAAATTTTAAAATAAAAGAAATTAACAGAAAAATCTAATGAGCTATTAAACTAACCTGATGTATTGTACTTCTTTTCTTGGTAGATTTTTATATCGGTAGCATGTTCTAACCCTCTCTTTACGCGAACCTTAACCCCACGTCCAAATTTATCTTGCCTGTAAACTTCACCAGTATCTTTGGTCACCCAGTAAACTTGATCTTCAAATAGATCAATGCTAATCGGATGTTGTAGATCACCTTTCAAAATAATTACTCTATCGCTTCCATCTTGTTTACTTGTTTCAATTGTATTAAATTTAGAGTCACACCAATATAACCGATGATCCGCTTCATAGTCAATAGCCAATCCTGAAGGAATACCAAGTCGTTCTGATACAATGACCGATCCTTTGGTACCGTCCATCCAGGAGACACCGATTTTGGGAGATGATCCAGCATCAGCCCAGAACATTAGACTAAATTAAAAGAAAAGAAAGAGAGAGATAATTGATGAACAAAAGTGCGAGAGAGAGAGAAATACAGAAATGATAAGACAAGAAGATCAGACAAGCAGAAAGAATTGAAAGAAGAAGATGGAATATATTCTATCTCCGTTTTTTTCTTGATAAAGTAACAACCAAGTTCTGAAAATCTTGTATTATACTAAAAGACAGACGAGGTCAATAAATCTTATTTATGAGAGAAACAAGCATATCTGGTTACCCTCTTTCTGGATCCAGTGCCAAGGATGTTGGCCTTTCCAACGCGTTTACAATAACTTTACGGTAACGACCATCAGCTCGACTGGTGAGTATCCTGCCTTTCGGTTTAGTACCCGATAGATCAACATCCATCCAATACAAGTTTCTATTGGAAAATTAAAGCAAACATAGGAAACAATTAGTTAAGATTTAATTACGATTCAATCAACAGAATCAATTATATGAATAAATTCATTTGAAACTGTTGCAAGAAAAACAAATAACAACTTTGAAATACTAACCCTCCAATCCAATCAAAAGCAATATCACTTAATTTAGTTGAACTTTTAAGTTGTAAATTCTGTGAGAATCCCAAACCATGATCACGATCAAGAGGATCTGGGATAAATGATCTTTTAATGGTCTTCTCATATGAGTCGGTCCAGTACATTAAATCTTTAATATAAGATGAGATAGAAAAGGAAAGGTAAGAATTTTAATTATGAGAAATCATTAAGAGAGAGAGAGAGAGAGAGAGAGAGAGAGAGAGATGTAATTCATAATAAATGATTAACTCTTAATGATTGACCGTTTAATTGGTCATTATAATGATAATCAGAGTAAAATATCAACAGGGAGATAAAGAGATAACTTTTAATGGTGACTAACCTTTTCCTGGATCATAATCTAATGCTTGAATGCGACTTTCACCCGCGATAAGTGACGATTGATGTTGCTGAGAATTGTCAATGGCTCTGATATCTAAACCATTAGCAATCATGATGACCGCTGGATGACCAATTGCTGCACACTTTTCATCAAACATTTTGAAACCTGGTTTACATGAGCACCCATAGGAACCTTCAAAATTGTTACAAATTTGTGAACAATTGTGACCAAACGTTGAACATTCATCAATATCTTCACATGCTTTGGTATTATTAGATGAGATTCGATAACCTCGAGGGCAAATGCAAATGTAACCACCTTCCCCCACAGAGGTACAATTATGAGCACAACCACCTCGGTGAGTTGGTGTACATTCACCTGTATGACAACCTCTCTCATCGGAAGCATCCCCGCAATCATCTGAATGGTCACAAATTTTTTCCAATGGTACACATTGATCGTTGGCACACTTGAATTGATTAGGTAAACAATGGACTGGCCATTTACGGCAAAGAGTATGATTATTTTCATCTGATCCATCACCACAATCATCATCACCGTTACAAATTTGCCACAAGGGTATACATTTGTTATTATGGCACTGAAATTTTCGGGTCACATCACAGGTAAAATTGGAGCAAACCGATTCATCTTCATCAGAGTTATCACCACAATCATCATCTCCATCACAAAGGAAATCTTGTCTCAGGCAAACGGTGTTATTACATTGGAATTGATTTGCGGGACAATAACGTCCACCTGGATATCGAGTTGGACAATTCATTTCATCTGATACATCACGACAATCCTTATGACCATCACAAACCAATTTTGATGATATACAATGTCCACTTTTACATTTAAATTGATCTTCTTTACATTTATAATCTTGACACTCTTTCTCATCGGAACCATCCTCACAATCATCATCATGATCACATCTCCATCTTGAGGGAATGCACTTTTTGGTTCCACATTGGAATTCACTTTCGGAACAATCTCGATAAAGGTCAGTACACTTTTTAGGATCTTCATCTGAATTATCACCACAATCGTCTTCAAAGTCACATCTCCAACGAAGTGGAATACATCGGCCATTTCCACATTTAAAGTCACCAGTTTCGGAACATTTTGGACAATATTCTGGATTATTCTCATCTGAACCATCTCGACAATCATCTTTACCATCACAGAATAGCCAACTGGGTATACAACGATAGTTATTACGAGTGGGACACTTTTTCCATCCCGTTGTACAATTACGATTACGGCAAATGTGAGCAGGTTCATCGGAATCATCTCCACAATCATCATCAAAATCACAATACCAAAGTTTAGGAATACATTTACCATTTCGACATTGAAATTGTGTGGCTGAATCACATTCTCGATGGTGACAATGTTCTGGTGCTTCATCAGAACCATCTGAACAATCATCATCACCATCACATTGCCATGAATCGGGAACACATCGACCAGTTGATTTACACTTGAAACTATGTTCACCACAATGATGATCACAGAAACTTTCATCAGATTTATCGGGACAATCGTTGATTCCATCGCAAATACGAATTCGTGAGACGCAAGTTTGATTATTTTTACATTGGAACATTCCCTTTTTACAAATAAATGGTGGACAATTACGTTCATCTGAACCATCCATACAATCCTTTTCACCGTCACAGGTCCAGAAAATAGGGACACAAATTTCATCTGGATGACCACATCGATGTTGGCCTTTGGTACAATTGGCGAAACAAGTTTTATTATCAGCGGCAAGGATAAAATTATCCGGACAGGCACATTTGTAGGTTGTTGAATCAACCGTTGAACCAGGAGCAATTAGACAAAGATGTGAACAATTACCATTGGTATTACCACAAGGATTAGGATAAGGTAATTGTTTAAGCGGATGATAAATATGAAGATCATAAGGACGATGAGATGTGTTTCTCAGCACTTCAAGACCTTCTCCAGTAAACTTATGAGCTCGAATAACAGCCTTGATATTCCAGTCAGTCCAATAAAGCCAATCATCGAAAACAGAAAGCGCGAAAACATGAGGAACCGAAGGACCGGAAAGTACTTGATGTCGGAATTTACCATTAAAATCAGAGTATTCAATATAATCCAAATGAGCATCAGCCCAGAAAATTTTATCACTAAAATAATCGATAGCCAGAGCATTAGGCCAGACCAATTTTTCCGTGTACAAAACAATTCGAGTGAAATTTGATCCATCCATACCAAGTTTACCAATGAACGCATGGTGACCCCAATCGGTAAAGAAAAGGTAACCAATACCTGGATGGACAACTACCGCTCGAGGATCAGTCATACCACCGCCGAGAATTGTTTTCCTATGTCGACCATCAAGTTCGGAAACATCTAAATGTTTACTGGTTCGATCAAGCCAATACAATTTCCTTCCAATCCAATCAACAGCTAATCCTTCAAGACCATGAGCCTCATGACGGACAACATTCTCATCTTTAGTACCATTAATAAAGATTCGGTTAATAGTTTTATTACCAACATCGGCATAATATAACCTTTCCTCTGAATAATCAAAATCAAGAGCGACAACATTTTTCAGATCCATTTTAATTAGATTATATTCCTTTCCATCGGTTGACATGTTACGAAGATAATAACGATTTGAAAACACCAACCAAGGTTTAACTGCATCTCGACGTTTACATGATCGGCCATCTCGTTCTCGTTCATAATAATTTTCATTACATTTACAGTAAAACGATCCTGGAGTATTGAAACAAAATTGGCTACATTTTCCCTTCTCTTGGCGACATTCATCAATATCTTCACAGGCTTTACCATCCTTCATTAATTGATAACCTTCATTACATTCACAGTAGAAACTTGTTGGTGTATTGACACATTTATGTTCACATTGATTTGTTTCCACCTTAAGACATTCATCAACACCACAATGAGCAGGTTCATCTGAACCATCAGAACAATCCAATTGTTTGTTACAAACTCTTTCATAAGGTATACAGGCATCATTTTTACATTTAAATTGTCCTGGGGCACAAGTGACCGGTTCTTTTTTACACTTTTCTCCGGTTTCATCTGAATTATCACCACAATCATCTTCACCATCACAAAAATAGGTAAGACGAATACATTTGTTATTATTACAGGAAAATTCATCTGAAGTACAGGCTCGGAAGGTACAATTTCTCGGTTCATCTGAACCATCGCCACAATCATTATCATGATCACAAACCCATTCTTTATTGATACAACGATTGTTATTACAACGATATTGATCCGTATCACAAGGCTCAGGAGGTGGGCAATTGTGTAAAGTTGTATTTTCATCTGCCCCATCAACACAATCAGGATCTCCATCACATATCCACCTTTTAGGTATACATTGAGCTCTACCCCAGTTTTTATTTTGTGTACAGGTAAATTCACGATCTGGATCACAGGTTCGAGTGTCACATTGATGTCTTACATCTTCATCTGAATTATCTAAACAATCATTGTCTCCATCACAAAGATAAATTCTTGGTATACAATTACCATTGTCACAGGTGAATAAATCACCGAAACAGGTACGCTTATCACTTTTACAATAATCTTCCGGTTCATCTGCTTTATCACCACAATCATCGTCACCATCACAATGCCAAGTTGCAGGAATACACCTATGATTTGGACAACGGAAACTATTCTGTGGACAAGTTCGAGAGGCACAGGCAACCTTATCTTCATCAGAATTGTCACCACAATCATTATCACCATCACAAAGCCAATAAGGTTCAACGCAAATGTTTGTATTTGCACATGGAATATGATTACCTGGGCAGGTACGATTTTTTGGACAATGTTCTAAACTTTCATCTGAGGTTTTATTGTCTTTACAATCATTGATACCATTGCAAACTTGAGACTGAGGAATACACCTTGAATTAGCACAGGTAAATTCACCATCAGCACAGGGTGGATAAGAACAGTCTTCTTCATCAGTTCCATCGCCACAATCATTTTCATGATCACATTTCCATGTTTTAAATATACACTGAGAAAAAGGAAAGAGAAAGAAAATTCAAATTAATATTATTATTATATAAAAATCCATTAAAATTCATCAACTGCAAGAAAAGTAATTCAATCATGAAACTTTGATGACTTATCAACAATGATGAGGATAATAAAGTTAATCACCAAAGACTAAACTTGAATAAATCATAAATTTCAACAAGTTTAACCTTCAAAATTCATGATATTGAAAACCAATCAAATGAGAAAACTTCAATTGAAACAATAAAATCACTATATGAAGACAAATGAAGAAACAAGTATTTGAAAAATAATTGAATTAATTACAAGTCGAAATTAACACATGTATGATAATGAATATGAACTTCAAGTTTCAATCAAAATTAATAATTAAAAAAGAAGGTCCGAAATCTCGTATCATTGATCTCAATCGGTATACGAGTAAAACCATTTGGGTTTCTTCAAATGAAAACTTTTTAATTATTAATTTTAGAGCGAAATTCGGCTTGGAAATGAAGTTTCATATTCAAAATTATCATACACGTGATTTAAATTTAATTTCGACTTAGAATTAATTAATTAATCACAATTAAAAGTCGTTTTGGTTTCTTCAAATGAAAACTTGGTTTCTTCATTTGGTGGTTTGGTTTCTTCATATGAAAAGTAGAATCGAATTTTTTACCTTTGGTTTCTTCAAATGAAAGAAAGGTTTTCTCAATTGAAAGTTTGGTTTCTTCAAACGGGAAACACTGTATGCATGAAAAAAAATTCAATCTTAAACAAAAGGGAATGAGAAAAATATTAATATTACAATAACATGACAATATAACTGAACTCAAGTTTCTCAGTGAAAACATGAAATGAACATTTTCAAACTAATCAAATAAATTACATAACATAACAACAATGACAAAAAGGATAATATTATTCAAGAAAAAAGTAATTAGCATGGACCATTATCTACATCATTTATTGATAATTATGCGTCTGATGTGATGACCTAATCTTGGAAAAGGTAATAATGATAATTTCAATACAATCGTCAATAAGAAAAGGGCTGAAAAAGGTAAACACATCATGAGAAAAATGGTGAACATTTTCTTGCAAATAATAATAACAACAGAATAAGATAATGATGTTTACTTGGTGCGAAAATGTTACCCATACATTTTCATCACAATTAGAAATCATGATTGAAGCGTATAAGTCAACATGAAATGAACGTTCATCATTTTGGGAAAAAGTTAATTGTACGTTTCTGTTAACACACTCACAGAGTAGAAGGAGAGAAAAAAAAATGGCTAAGAAAATCGCTTCTTTATTGCGTAGTTAATATTAGCTTTGCTTGGAAAAGAAGCTCATTTTTTGGGTAGAAATGGTAAATATATAACTAATAGTAAACATCATGTTTGGCTTGAATAGTTTTCTGAAAAGATGGGAAAAAGAAAAATAAACAAAACAGTAAAAAGAGATAATGTATTTTAAATATCATATACAGATTAATCTGCTATTATATATAAATATCATCAAGAATTATGGTGATATTGGTGAAATGAGTAAACAATCAGCTAAATATCCTTTAGATTGTTGCTCAATTAAAATTAATGACGATTGCAAACAGTAATAATAATCATGAGGATCTTGCAGTAAAATTAACTTCCTTTTTACTTCAATTAGCTTCATGATGATCATCAAATCTTTTAAAATGAATGAAGAAAAAAAAATAATAGAAACATTTATTTCTCAAGTGAGAGAGAGAGAGAGATGAAGATAGAGAATCATTTGAGAGATAGATTGATAATTTCATTTCAATTTACCATGAAAAGATAATCATTACTTCATGATTGGTAGATTATATTGTGTATATTTATCTCTCTCTCTCTTTCTCTCTCTCTTTTTTCTGACACTTAATAAAAAGAAGAAATAAATTATCACTTCTTTTTTATTGTTATCATTATTATGTCAGCATTGATTGTTTACACTTACTCTTCCGTTTCCACATCGGAACTCATTTGGTCCACAGGTATGGAAGGTACAAAAGTTTTTATCCTCATCAGTTTTATCACCACAATCATCATCACCATCACAGGCCCAAAGTCTTGGTATACATTTACCATTGGCACAAGCGTATTTAGTTGGATCACAAGTAACATTATTAGGAACACACATTCGACCCTCATTGGCCACTTTAAAGCCAGTATTACAGCGACATTCAACTGTACCATTGGGTGCTTGGTGACATGAATCAGTACAACCACCATTGTTAATCATACATGGATTATTGTCACATTTTTGTCGATCAGGTGAGAAAACATGAATATCTCGAGGTGATTCTTCCAATCGTTTAACCATTTCAATCATATTAGCACCGGTATGTTTTTCAGCGCGATAAACACCTCGTAATTGTAAATCAGTCCAATAAATGTAATTACCAAAAACGGTAATTGCAAACGGATAGATTGTCGCTTGACGAAGCACCTCACGATTGTTACCTTCTAAATCGGATCTTTCAATTTTCTCTCTCAATGCATCAGTCCAATACAATTTTTTCTCATCATAATCAATCGCTAATCCACTGGGTTGCGTCAAATTATTTCCAATGATCACCTTCTTAAAATTACCCGCCATTGTGGTTCGATAAATTTTACCCGAATTTCCAAAACGTCCCCAGTCGGTAAAGTAAAGATAACCCGAACAAGGATCAACAACGATCGCTCGAGGTCGTTCAACTCGTACGATCATCACAATCTGAGATCCATCCATGTTCATTGCATAGATGCTTCGATTAGCCGAATCGGTCCAGTAGATTTTTTTACTTGTCCAATCGTAGGCAATTCCTTCGGGATTAATGTTATTCTGTAAAATGGTATGGACATCATCGGGTTTCTCGATATCAAGCCAAGAGATACTTCCATCGGGTCTTATTTGAGTGAATAAAAGTTTCTTATCACTATAATCAAAATCTAAACCAACAACGTTTGTCATGTTAACACGAGGTTGAAATGGTGAACCTGATTGTTTTGGATCAAGATGAACAGAACGTATTTCCCGTCGAGTGGTAAAAACAAGATATTCCTTAACGGAGACACAACTTTTACCATCAGGAGCTAAAACCCCCGAGGCACAAGCACAACTCCAAGATGGTAAATATCCTTCAGGTTTAGCAAAACACAATTGATCACAAACACCATTACGAGAACAAGGTGTATCTCCAGTTGGTTGATTTTTGGCATCAAAGACAACAATATCTCTCAAAGTATCAAGATTTGATTTAATTGACTCATATTGATTGGTACCATTGGGTGAGGCAAATTTAGATGCTCTAAAAATGGTTTTCAAATTACGATCAACCCAATAAACAGAAGCACCATTAATAGCGATTCCATAAGGTGATGGGATATCCCTAACAATATATTGTCGTCGACCTCCGTTAAAGTAAATCTTTTGAACAGCATCAAACTTTGAATCGACCCAATAAATGTCATGAGTTGCAATATCGATAGTTAAATCTCTCGGGCTATTAATGTCTCTTGAAACAATTGAGGTTCGATTGGTACCATCAAGAAGGGCTCTCTCAATTTTTGGAAATTGTCCATGGTCAATCCAGTAGATGTACTTTTTAATTGGATTAACTGCCAATTCTCTAGGAGTATCAGTGATTGTCTTCAAAATGACCATTCTATTTGAACCATCGAGCCAACAAACTTCAATATAAGTTTCATGGGGGAAAACGTTGGTGAAATACATGTTACCCGCAATCCAATCAATCGCTAATCCTCTAATACCATTAGAACCAATTCCATCCGAGATAATTTGCTTCTTATCAGTTCCATCAGGTTTAATTGAGAAAATACCATTTAATCCGCCGGGATTAAATTCAATCCAATAGATGGTATTTTTAGCCACATGAACATCGACATGAAGTATATTATGTCCAACTCCGGAAACGGGTTGCATAGCTTCAGAATGATCTTCCAAACTGAATCCTTGAAGTTTAGTTAATGATGAAACAACGGCAAATGATTTGTAAACCTCACAACTTGTTTCACCAGAACTTTTATAACCAGTACTGCAAAGACATCGACGCTGTTTATTAGCCATTGGTACACAAACATGAAGACAACCACCGTTGGCAATTTGACAGGGATGATTATCTAATCCTGGTCTTTTAGCGTAAATTTTAAGGTTCCTTAAATTTGGAGTGTTTTCTTCAAGGAAAAGTGAATTGTTACAAGAAGGTAAATTAACTCGGACAATCCTTTCGTAAGTTGAATCAAGGTAATAGAGACGATTGTTGTAAACAGATAAACCTTGAGGTTTATCGATAGATGAATTGATTTTAATTTGACGATCACGTCCTTCCAGGTCAACCGATTGAATTATTCCTGGTGAACTTTGGGAAAAGTATAAACGTTTATTAGCAATATCAATGGTCAAAGCTTCAACATTAAGTAGTCCATCTTTGACCAATATCGTTGAATTGGTTCCGTCCATGTTTGCTTTACCGATTTTCGTTGGTACCATGAAACCACCCTCATCAAGCCAATAGATTGAACCAGAGGTCGGATCTAGAGCGATACTTTTAGGTTTACCAACACCGTTTGGAGTACCATCGTTTGAAAGGATAACCCGTCGGAAATTTTTATCACCATCGGCTTTAATTATGGCAATACTTGATGTTTTAATTGAACCAATGTAAATATTACGACCAATCCAATCGAAAGCAATTGAATAAGGTGACCCAGCGATACCATCAGCTAGGAAAGCCGTTTGATTACCGCCTTTAAGGCTCACCTTGAAAATGGTACTATTTTCACGAGTTTCATCTTTTGATTGAATCCAATAAATGTAACCCTCTTTTTTATCATAATCAAAATCATAACCATTTTCAACACCAATAACTGGAGTAAAATATCCTGTTGTTGTATCGGTTGGTGTTAATTGAACATCAACAATTTGTGATCCTTTCATAACCATTAAATAGGGAACCTCAATTGGTATACAACGACCTGGATTAGCTGAACGGTCAGTTGCATAACCTGGTGGACATTTACAGGTAAATCCTTCAGGTTTGGGTGAAAGTAAACATAAATGTGAACATGGTGACTTGGCACAAGGATTAGATGAATTGGGCTGGAGAATAGGATGATTAACATGAATACCCAAAGGTTGTGAGACCAAATGAGAGACAACAGTTTGATTAAGACCTCGATATTTATGGCAAGAAAGGACTCGATTTAATTGACGATCAGTCCAGTAAAGTGTATCTTCAAAAACTGTCAATGAATGAGGATGAAGTAGGTAATGATTATGGGCTAGAACTTGTTGCCTATTTTTACCATCATAGTCACAGAAATCAATATAATCCAATTTGGAATCAGCAAAATAAACTCTTCGAGTGGGTATGTCAATAGTTAATCCATTGGGCCAGTAAATTTTGGTATCAATGATAACTTTACGTTCATTACCATCCATTCCGATTCTCTCTATTCGTGGATTTTCACCCCAATCAGTCCAAAAGAGTACCCGTGATCCTTCACGAGGATCAAGTGATATTCCTCTTGGTTGACTAATATTCTGGGAAACAAGGATAACATGATTTTTACCATCTAATGTTGACACTTCAATGGTTTTCAATTTTGAATCAACCCAATAAAGATTACGAGCAATCCAATCAACCGCTAAACCTTCAACCAGATCAAGACCTGAGCCGACAACTACTTCAGCCTCATTTGAACCTTTGGTGAGACGGAAAATTTTCTTAGCATGCATATCAGACCAATAGATTGTACCAGTGGCCATTTCGGATGCAGTTGCGACAACATTTTCTACCCTAACGGGAATCCTTTCAAGTGAAGTTGTATTAAGATTTGAGATGAGAATTGATCGACGATTAGAGATAACCAAATAGGCCAAGGTACGATTAAGGGCTTTACAACTTGCCCCATGAACGAAACCATGGTCAGTTGTATTTTTGAATGGATGAACAGCCTCATATCCAGCGTCACAATAACACTTATAGGAACTTTTAACATTCTCACAAAATTGTGAACATTTACCTGGTATTGCACATTCATCAATATCAATACAGGTTAGGGTATCATTTAACCTTTGACCTGGTGGACAGGTACAAACGGCACCTAAAGGAGTTGCTGTACAGTTGTAGGCACATTTTAAGGTTGAATTATTCATGGCTGAACATGGATCAAGTTCACAGGCTGGACCTTCATCGGAACCATTGGGACAATCTTCTTTACCATTACAAACTTTATCAAAATCGATACAAGTTTCCGTGACATTTGGACACAACCATTGACCCGCTGGACAATAAAATGGAGCTGAACCACAAGCATGACGATGATCCTCATCGGAACCATCACCACAATCATCTTGACCATCACAAATCCATGATTTAAAGATGCACTTTGAATTATTGCACTTAAAATGTTTCGGTGGGCATTCAACTAAATCACACGTTGATGGTTCATCTGAACCATCCTCACAATCATAATTACCATCACAATACCATGTTTTGGGTAGACAGAAGGTTGAATTTTCACACTTGAAATGTTTCTCGGTGTCACATTGATTGGGTGCAAGTGAGGGGCAACCCTTTTCATCTGAACCATCATTACAATCAGCGACACCATCACAGTGATAAGATTCAAGGATACATTGTTTCCCGTTAGCACATTGAAATTGATGAGAAAGACAAGTGACAGAGGGACAATTTTGCTCATCCGCTTGGTCAAAACAATCATTGTCACCATCACATATCCATGATTGAGGAATACATTGAGATCTACCTGGACAAGTGAATTGATAATAGGCACAAGTTTTTTCTTGACAAGAATCACCTTCATCTGAACCATCGCCACAATCGTTTTCAGAATCACATTTCCATGAAGAGGGAATACACCGACCATTTTCACAAGCAAATTCGTTAGCACCACAAGTGACATTCGGACCTTTTCAGAGAAAAATATGAAACGAAAAAATTCAAATTCAAATTTAAATCTCTCAACCAAATTAACAAAAACAACAGCAACAATTTAGAAAACACCTTAGGTAAAATTCAATTTGAACGTGAAAATAAAACAGTTAATCTAAATCACAATAAATTGATTGTTCACAATTAAGGAAATAATGATAATTATTATCACTCTTTGCCATCTCTTTAAATAAATCTCTTTGATTAAATTTAATCTCAACAAAGAACCTGAATTGTATAATAATAAAATGATTAAATCATTGAATTAACTATTCTTATCTTTGAGAATCTGAATAATTTATGAATCTTTAAATTACCATCAAGGTAAATTACTATAAAAGAATCATCAAGTTAATCAATGAGATGAGAAAGTAAACAAAGTGAAAAGGAAAATCCTAAATGATTGTTCATTGTGTTGACAATAATAAACAATATTTTTGCCCATCAATTCAATTTGAGATTCAATTAAATCAACAATCAGAATAATTTCAACTCTTTTCTATCCAATTATTATTAATATTACATTTTACTCTATATATTTTGTCAAATACGATAATATTTTCAATTCATTCACACATACTGACTGTATCAAATTCAAAGTCAGACATATCATTTGTTGAATAATTTTCCTTTACTATTAAATAAAAAAAAATGTAATGGCAATAAAAAAGCAAACAAATTATATTAACCTTGTGAACGATTTTCATTTTTCATTATTTTTCACTCTTCTCATGTTATTCAATATCTTTTTCAATTAATACCAATGTGAGAGAGAGAGAGAGAGAGAGAGAGAGAGAGAGAGAGAGACAGAAAAAACCCCGATAATAGTAAACAATTAACTAATAAATCAAATTAATTGTAAGGGAAACAAAAAGTAAACATGGAAACTTACAATGTTGTTCATCTGAGAAATCGCCACAATCATTATCACCATCACAGCGAAAGGTTAAAGGTATACATCGACCTGAGGCACAGGCAAACTCTTTAGCGGAACAAGATGATTGGGTACAATTCTGTTGTTCATCTGAATTATCTAAACAATCATCATCTCCATCGCAAACCCAAGTTTTCGGAATACACCGTTGATTGTTACAGGTAAAATCCCAACTATTTGGACAAGGTCGAACTGGTGGTTCACTATCGGGATTAGAAGCACAACTAATACCATCACCGGAAAGCTTTTCCCCATAGGGACATCCACATTTTGCTTCTAGACCAAAATCGGTTGTATTTGATGGTACACCGAAACAAAACTTTTGACATTTACCGTTATTGGTGAGACATGGATGACGAGCATCAATCTCTTGATTACTCTTGCTGAACATTTTAATACTATATAATCGATTGTGTTCCTCAACGGTTCGAACAATCATTTCATTAGAACCATTGACTTTATTCATTCGTAAAATTGCATCAAGTCTCCAATCGGTAACGTAAAGCCATTCATTGTGAATAACAATTGAAAATGGATGTTTAATCCTTGGTGAAGAGATTGTCTTAACATCGGAACCATCAAGTTTAGCATGTTGAATATGGTCAAGAAGAGCATCACACCAATAGAGTCGATCATATTGATAATCTATTGATAATCCATTAGGCCAACCAAGAAGTACACCTCGGAAAACCATTACATTGGTACCATCAAGATAAGCTCGTGAAATATTGGCTGGTCTTTCCCATTCCGAGAAAAAGATATAACCCTTATTAGGATGGACAACAATTGCTCTTGGACGTTTTAAACTTTTCAATAAAGTTCGTCGATAAGTTGGATTACCAGTGTTAAGAACGTTAAGTGTACCCTTTCTCGAATCAATATAATAAAGATTATTGGTAACCCAATCAAGCGCTAAACCTTCAACACCTTCATTTTGTGAGGCGAGTACATTTTCTTTACCACTTCCATCAACCTTAATCTTATAAATAACATCAAGTATAACATCAGAATAGTAAATATACTGTGATTGGAAAGAATAGTCAAGACCAACATAACGTGCTGATCGACCAACAATCGGTACAATGGCATCAGAGAAGGCATCAGATGAAGAAGATGATGATTGGTAATTGTAACCAGAATCTTTAATCAATATTCCATGAACAAATTTCTGCTGTGAGTAAAGTAGAAACTCTTTAACCGGTGTACATGATTTCTGGTTAGGTGCCAACTCATAACCGGTTTCACAGGCACACCTATAGCCAAGAGTAAAATCGTCCTTTGAATCTCTCTCAATTCGGGTAAGAATACACATATGTTGACATCCACCATTCCTATTGCCACATGGATTATCGGTAGAAGGTTGTCTCAGGTAATGATATGAGATAACACCTTTAGGTTCGGGTGTTGTTTTCTCACGGTAAATTGTCTCAATGGGTTGACTGGTATTATAAAGGTTAACCTTTAAAATACCTTGGCGAGTTGAATCTGTCCAATAGATTGTATCCTCAAAAAGGGTAATCCGTACTGGTGCTGGAACTTTGGTTGAACCTCTTAAAACTGTATGACGATTGTTACCCTCATAATCAACAATAACAATCTGATCTAATTGTGAATCACACCAGACAAGACGACGATTAACATAATCCAAGGTTAATCCGGATGCTTTATAAATATATGCAGAGACAATGGTTTTACGCTGGGAACCATCCATGAAGGCACGATCAATATTATCGGAATCAGTGAAAAACATGTAACCCTGGGTTGGATCAAGTGCTATATCCAATGGAGCGGTAATATTTTGACTTAAAACAATTGCACTGGTTTTACCTTCCAGATCGAAAATATCAATTTTTTGATTGTGAATATCACAGACATAGATTTTATTTGTTATCCAGTCAATAGCCAACGATACTGGATTCCATTGGTAAGGTACAGAGATGTTAACTAAAGGTGTAATGGATGGAAGCGATGGAGATGATGAAGGTGATAAAGATGAGGAAGATGAGGAAGATGGTGATGATGATGATGATGATGGTGGTGGTGGTGGTGGTGTTGTGGTAAAATTAACATAAGCATTATTGTTGTTGTTGTTACTTGCAATTCTTTCATCTAAATTGATCGAGTAGATTGTTTTAGTTGAGGTATCAGACCAGAATAAAAGTTTCTTGTCAAAATGATAATCTAATCCACTTGCTGTTGTTGAATTAACAATTACATCTAATTTTGATCCAATTGAATTTGTTGAATATATGGTTGTATGATGTGCAAATAAAAGGATCATTGAAGATGAATTAATGGCCTTACAATGGCGATTACCATCTAATGTATAACCTGTTGAACAGGAGCAATTATAACCTCCCATTGTATTGGTACATAATTGATCACAATAACCCCATTCATTACATTCATTTAGATCGGTGCAACTTTCATTATCCTTTGGGTCAAGGGTCATTCCAATTGGACAATGGCAAATACCACCATCAGCTGAAGCATTACATCCATATTGACAGAAAAGGGTGGCACAAAGTTTGGATGAGCAGGCTGACTTTTCATCGGATTCATCTGAACAATCGGCTTTACCATCGCAAAGTTTTTCTCTTGGAATACAAATTTTATCACTAGGACATAACCATTCTTTGTCAGTACATGCTGATGATAGATAGAGAAGAGAATTACAAATGAGAGAGAAGAAAAATAACTTAAAAAACATGATAAAAGTATCAGAAGAAGAAGAAGAAGAAGAAGAAGAAGAGAGAGAGAGAGAAGAGAATTTCTTTTTTCAAGATGAGGATAAATATATATAAATAATTGGGGGAGAGAAAGAGAAAAAAAGAAATGGAATGTGTTGATGATGATAATTATGATGATGGTGATGATGTTGTTGATGATGATGATGATTATGATTATTTTGACGGAGTTTATAAAAGCGTTACAAGGAAGTTTGCTAACAAAAAAAGGAAAGAAAAAGGTTTCAGTTTTTTTTAGTAAATGAACAAAAGGTTAATGGAAACACCCAGGAAACAATACGAGGAGAATTAATTGTTTTGGTTTAAACACAATCAGAAAAAATTAACAAAATTCCTCCTGTTGAGGTCACAAAGTTTTACATGGTAAACCAATAGTAATAATAGTTAATATATTTTAAGCGAAAACTTATCCATAATAATAATTATTGTAGGAAAGAAGGAGAGAGAAGAGAAAAAGAAAATTTATAAAAAACAAAATTTTGATGATGTTGATGGTTAACAAAAAAGAACCGGCAACGGTTTCAACTAGAGAGAAACTAAAAAGCTAAAAGTAGTTTTCGATTAAATTTAATTCGATCGATTGGATCGATTTTAAAAAGAACAATCGGTGGTCAGAATCGATTTTCTTTTTTTCGAAAAGAGAAAATCGATTATCCACACGTGACTTTAGATGAGAAAAATTAATTGAATTTAACTTTTTTTTTCTCTTCTTTCTATACAATTGGTTATATGAAATAACGACAAGTTTTTATTTTCTTTTATTTTCTCTTCTCCTTTAAATCTCTTTGTTATGGTTTTCATGTGAGAGAAAAATCGATTTTTAGGTAAAAGTTGATTGATAGATTAATCGAACTTTTTGGAAAAATCGAATTATCGCCTTTTTGGTGGAAAAAAAAGCTCAAAGATCAAAGCGAGTTTTAGACTTTTACTTACAAATACGCAGGTCACAAGTCGTTTGCGTTCAGGCTGGTTTTCTGTTTTCTCTTGTTTGTTTTGTTTATTCTCTTACTATTACATTAGGTTAGAACTTTTTGTTTGGGAAGAGTTAAAGTCAAGGTCAAACTCTTTTTCTTTGGCTAAGTAAATCATTTCGTTCCATCCTCGTAATAGACTATTGATTTTCTTGATATTCTCATCTCGAACAATTGATCAGAACGTACGTTCGAGTGCGAGAGAAAGAGAAAAAGAGAAATAGAGATGATTCAATTGAAGAAAATTAGATTTTCCATTCATAATCAATTCTCTTGGCAAGAAATTTTCAATCTCTGTCAATCGATTCTCATTAAGCTAATCAACTGTAATTCTACCAGAAAATTTCCAATAATAAAAAATTTTTCCATAAAATGGGTTCAAATTAAAATCGATCAACAGGTAATCAATAACATTTACAATTTATTTCCCAATTTTCTGTTTGATTGATCAATCAATTGGAAAGACAAATCACCAAACGAAATTACTGATCAAATTTCTGTCATCAAGATGATGAACAAGAGGATATTAATGATTATCAAAATGTCTCCTTCTCATACAATAGAATTGATCTCAACAGAGAAATATCGATTTGATAGTAAAATTTATTCTTCGACTGGAAAATCAGTGAAATATTTGATAAATTCTGTAAACTCTGTTGATAATATTTTTCGAAGTTTATGAAAAAGGAAAAGATTAATATGAATGCCAGAGGCTGATGACTTTTCCACTCATTTTAGTGGTTAATTTCAATTCTGATTCTGTAAAGATTGAGATCAATTCTAAACGAGTGAAGTTCAAGTTCCTTTTTTTTTTCTTCAATGATGATAATTCAAAAAGATTACATGAAAGTTACTTGTAGCTCTTGTTTTGTTGAAATTCTGGTTTTTCTGGTTCTGATGATCGGATAAGTTGATTCATCTTGACTTCAGAACTTTGTCTTGTCATTAATATCATATGTTGTTGTTGATGATGATGATGATGCTGATGAAGATGATGATGTGTTAATTGATTAATTGATTTCTTGTTATATTTGATTGTTGGAATACTGTTGATATTTACTTTTTTTTTCTTCATTTTCCAATCTTCGATTGTGATAATTTTTCTTAATCATCATTTTTATCGTAACCAATTGTTTGCTTCCGTTGAGAGTTTCAATTTCTTTAATCATCAAATTAATCAATTATTTCCAATTGAATTTCCAACAATATCATATTTACAATGATCCTGGAAAAATAATCTATTAGATGAACAATCAATTACAATTATATTTAATATCGTATATACATAGAGATGATAATAACTTAATAGAAACAACAATTTAACAATTGAGTTTATTTTTTTTTTCAACAATCTGATCATGACAATTTTGCTTATTCATTAATCAATCACAACAACCTTTTTTTTTTGATTGGGTTAATAACGTAATCAATTCAATTGGATTACAATTTAATTTAGTATCATTATTATTATTATTAATACAAATTGTATATTCTTTTCATTATTTTAATCATGTTAATCAGAAACTTGATTAGTTTCATATTATTATCAATGTTTACATTTTAATTTTAACTTGTTTTCGTTTGGGAATCAAATTAAAAAGTTGTTGCGATTAACATTAAATTGTTTCGTTGATCAAACTAATAATTACTCTTGTCATATATTATATATATTTAGATACTCAGATTAAATCAGTTTATTGAAATACAAATAATCAATTGATATAATTAATCCATCATTAAGATAATATAAGTATAAAAATTAATATACAATCAGTTGATTGTTTTCAAAATCTCTGGTCTCGATCTCGCTAATCGTTAAAGGTAAATGGTCAACAATAAACACAATACAGATTAATAGTAATCATGGTAAATAATGATGATATTAATTCATTAGTGATTGTAATTTGTTGATTATTTGAGAGTTTAATTTTAATTTCAAACAATTTAAAAGTAAATACATTCGGTAAAAGGTCAATAAACTGTTTCAATTGGGAAAAGGATGCTAAGGAGGAAGATATTATTTGTGATAAAATCTATTGATAATCGTTGCAAATGTTAATTGTTAATCATGTAATATTGATGGATATTGGAAGATGATTAGAGAGCAATTGATTTACTAATTTACAATTTGTTCATTGTTACTATTTAGGGTAACACATTATATTACAATACAGAATAGGATGATGATGATGATGAGAGAGAAAGAGAAATGATCATTATTTTCCTCATCTTCATCTTCATCATCTTCTTTTTTTTCAGCCTCCGAATCTGAGATAACCATTGAAATGAACCTTGTCCGTTGATAATCTTGTTTACCTGTTGTCCATCAACACTCATCATCCCTCTAAAGGTAAACTAAAATTGACGCCCTAATTTAGTTAATTGTTCATTAGTTAATTTGTTTCTTTCCTTTATCATCATCATCATCTTAACACTCTTTTGTTATTCTTATTGAAACTTATTCAGTTTCTACTATTAAATTAGCTGCAACTATTCAATACTATTAGAAATCAGTAAATTTAGCTCAGCGTTTATTTGTATTTTCATGTGAATCTTGATTTAGTTTAAAATTTTTTTCTTTATTCCTTAATTTTAATCATCTTAACAGTTAGTATTTAATTTAGTTTCTAACTTTGTTGTTGTTGTTGTTGTTGTTGTACTTAATCATAATGATGAAACTTATTTCCAGGTCATTGATAAATTAGTTTAACAATTGATTGTAAAAGTCAAGGGTGAGATAAATTTACAATTAAACTTGTTAATTAAACTTTTTTTTTCTTGTCAATAGTTGAGTAATCAAAGTTTATCTTAACGATTATTAAAACAGATCAATCAGAAAGGTTTAAATCATTTACTAAATCATATTGATTTATCGGTAAATTGAGACTAGTTAATTGTCACAAATTAGTTACCATGTAATTGTGAGTATTTACCTTGAAGTTTTTTTTTCACCGTAATAATTGTAAACCATTTAGTTTATTTGTACTCACAAATGATTGAGACCTAAAGGTAAACGCATTTACCTTTTACCTTTTGTACCCAATGAGATAAATTTACAAGGAAAAATCTCAGGTAAAAGGTATGTGACCTCTTGACCCTCAAGCAAAATGGTTAATGATAACGGCTTTTTAAGTCTCTCTCTCTCTCTCTCTCTCTCTCTCTCTCTTACAATGTGAGCAGTAATAATCAATTATATCGTCACTAAATTTAAGGATGAGGATAAACTAGTATCAAGGTGAACTCAAGTAAAAAAGCCTAACCAAAACCTTAACCTAACCCATAATTTTTTTAACCTTTTCCCTCGTATACAAAATAATTTAGACCTTGCGAAATAGCCTGAGGTCACAAATTATGAAACTCAGTACAATGGCATTTGTTGCTTTGTATCATCATCAGTGTCTAAAATTTACATGAGAGCTATCAAACATAATTAGGATTGGTCAACATAACCAAAAACTATATTCAATTGTTTTCAACTAATTATCAGGAAAATTATCATTAGCAATAAATATAACTCATTTTCTTGTTAATTTACCTGTAATTTTTTTTTCTGTTCATTTCCATGTAAAAAAACTGACAATAATTAGTAATTTAATTTCAATTGAACTCTTTTTTTGCAAATGTAATAAATAAACAGGTTTCCTTGTTTACCTGGTTTACCTTGCGTTCATATTGTTATTTTTTTTAAACATCAAATAATTCCTGTTAATGATGATAATTATAATGATGATTTCTGATGATAATGATAAAATAATAATAATAAACTCAATAAATACTATGATCACACATTATGACGCTATTGTAATAGTTGAGATGGAGAAAAAAAATTCAATGGTTTAATAGTTTTCTACTTGAAATAACTACGACTTATTTTCAAAATTCTGGTCTTCATCCTCTTCCCCATCTTCCTCACTCTTTCTCTCTCTCTCTCTCTCTCTCTCTCTCTCTCTCTCTCTCTCTGCTGTTTTTCTCTTTCTTTCTTTCTTTGTGTTTCACTTTCTTTTGAAACCCCTTACCCATAATTTGGGTTTAGCCCAATACAGATTAAGGTAAAACTTGTTAGCCGAAGAAAAAAGTTTTCTTGCTACGAACATATGGTGTCGCCATCTCTTATTATTCGTTTAAAGCTCACGTTCTTCATTTTTATTTTCAATCTTTTCGATGTTTAACTTTTACAATCAGTTTGAATTAGTTTAATAATTTAAAAAAATTGAATTTCTACTATGAATTTTACGACTAATACAATTAGGAATATATTTTATCATATGGTTATGATATTTTTGTCCTCTTGAAATCATTCGAGAAGCTTATTCAGCCACTTCGAATACTCGATGAGCGTTTGATGGTTGACACTTTTTTACGAAAACTTTGAGCTGGTTAAATAGAATCTCTATTAGGTTCAGAAATGGTGAGTATACTGGTTGGAAGATAAGTTCATGGGAATTTATTTCTAGTTAAATATTTTCAAATTTCCATGTTATTGACTGATTTGAATTCGTTTCGTTTCTCTGAACTGAATGACCAGAAAAAAAGCTTTTGAAAGTTCGGACA